TGAAAGCCATGTTCAGCTTGTCAGCTAAGGAGTCCCAACTCCTTAGCTTTCCTAAAGTGTCTGACAGCCCATGAGTGTCTGGGTTTGAGGCTTGGCTGAAATCGGTACGGTTCAGTCAAGTAGGTTCATGTTGTCCAGCCCTCTGCATCATGGTCAAGTACCAGTACCGGTATGAACCGGGAAGCTCTAGTCTGCCCTTTGGACTAGAGAGGCGTCAGTGCTTGGTTAACTTCCTGGAGCCACAGACCCCTCCTAAAGAATAGGACGGGGAGGAGTGTAGTACCGTATGGTACTGGTTACGGGAGTTGACGGAAGTTAACGGAAGGTTCCGGACCAACCGGAACTAGTGTGTTAGGCTGACAGTTAGGCGCCATATTTGTGTGTAAAATAACTAAGAAGAATTAGGCAATTCCTAGCTTGGCTACGATCCAGACGTGGAAGGTAAGTCGATTGTTTGTATTGTCAATCCCTTTATAATCAATCGCGACAGTTCTATATTATTATAAAAATATACGGTTATAGCGAACACGGTTATAAGGAATTGTCGCTAATAAGGAACTCATTTTTTAGTCCCAATTAAGTTATAAGTACAGAAAATTACTCTTTTATAACGAACTCCAAAATATCGGCTATTCGTAAATAGATCCCGCATTTTCAACTTTCGTTTTCATTGGCACAGATAAAAACTCGGCCGAATGTACCGTTTATTGTTGTAAGTACTTCAAGACATCTATTAAAATGAATTTGTATAGCAGTACGTAATAGTTTTTCAATTTAGGATATTTTTAGCATGAGTTCTTGTCATCAATATAAAACGGTTATTCCTTTTATTCCATTATTTGTTTTCTTTAATAGTTTTGTTCTAGTAAAATGATTATGATCATTTAATTACAACTGGTTTTCAACAGAATCATCCATGCTTGCAAGCATAATCCATTTAAAACTACAGTTTACGCTAGATTAAAATGAAAAGAAAGCTATATCTTTCATTAGTAAAAGTAACCCTTAAAATAAAAGATATTCAATATAAAAGAAGGAAAAAATCGAAAATCTTGTTTATTCTTAATCATGGAATGAAAACGAAAATAACTGAGTTTAGAAACAAAATATGATATTTTATGAGAAATTGAGAAAGGGAGTAAAACTAAAATGAAATAACAAAGGATTTTCAAATTCAAAAAAGTACGCTCTTGGGTATTGTGTTACAAGGATCTGATTCGCTATGTGCTTACAAGGTACTCCGGATATAAGGAACAGATTTTGAATGTCCCGATGAGTTCGTTATAAGCGGAGTTTCAATGTGTAATTTAGAACAAGGGAGAAAAATCAAATGAGTCTACTTACATATAATTTATAGTGACATTGTAAGAAGTTTATTAAACTTAAAAAATAAAAGAATTAACTAAATGGATTTATATAATGAAAATTGAAAAAATGGTCATACACGTGTATTTGTGATGCTTATGTTTTCAGAGCTCAAAATTCTCATGCATGCATCTTGTGCGATTCACAAAAATACACTGATAAATGCAATAAGTTTTTTTTCTTTTTCAAAAAAATGTATTCATCACTCGTACATTCCTTTTTTATCATTGAGTGGATCAGGGTTTGATATATAAATAATTTTATCTTGAATGAGTGACCTTCTTTCAACCTAGTATACTATCTATGAGGTGCCATTAGATTTTCAGGTTGATTTGTTTTTCTTCCTTTTTTGAATTGCACATTTTCAGAAATTCTTTTCTTTTAAGATCTGTCATTATTTGCTTTATAATAATTTTATTGTGTTAATGAGTGTAATCATTTTATGTTGCCAGCACAGTTGATGTTACATTTGCTTATCATAGGTATGACTGACTGGTTGAAATACTCAATAAAACATTTCTTTATCTGAATTTGTTGTGCAACAATGATAGATTTATATGTAGTTTGCTGTATTACAAGGATTTTTGGTCGTAACTCTTATCTTAACACTTTTGTAAACATCTTAAACTATAATGCTATGTTTCTAAATTTGGTTTGTGTCAATAACATGTTACCTCCTGGGTTTTTTTGAAATTAAGGAAAACATAAATCATCCAGAACTAGGGTCAATTGGTTTTGTTGTAAATCAAGATATTTGATAACCATAAAAGTTGTTTATAGTTAGTCGTTTTTACATTTTACAGTATGAATGACTTGTATCAGGGAAAAGAATTGTTTGTATTTGTTCATGTATACAGAATATTGAAAGTATCAATTTAACCTTTAAGTGGTTTGAACAGAAATATAGTTTCCCAGTGCTTGAAGTATATTTTGATTTAAGAGAGTATGCTATATTTAGGTATGGATCTACTTTTAGATTAAGATAATAAGATAAGTGACTGCTTGGCCATTAAATAATTGTCCCACTTGTTGAAGGGATCATAGGATGAATGTGAAACATTTTTATTGTATTTGTTCAGAGTTGATATCTTCATTATTCTGTGTATATTTGCTTTACTTAGGGAGTGAATGTGCAATACATGTGTGTAATGTGTGACTGATGTGTGTGTCCTGTATGGTCCCTGTCTAGCTGTGCAGACATACCATGAAATGGGTGTGGTTTGTGTGTAGCTTTAGTTTGTAGTCAAGAATTTTTAAATGTGATATGTAATCTATATGGTTTTATACACAGAATTACGTCCATGTATTTTGTACTTTTAGGGAGGTAAAGAATAATCAACAAGTATTGCAAAATATAAAATATAAGAGTTTTAACAGTATTGCTTGTGATGAAATATAAATAATAAAAAATACAATAAAGGAATTGGTATATCTGAGAAAGTAAGAGTTTGGTTCATTTTAGTGCAGGACTGACACACTTTTGGTTATTCAAGCCAGGAAACAAGGTGATGATGAATCCTGTGTGTAAAAACTTTTACTCTTCTATCTTTGAAATAATAAAACAAACACTTTTCTTATTTATTTTTAAAAATTGCTTGAATAACAAACTATGCTTATTATACCAGTAGTCAGACAATATTTTAAAGATATAAACACATATAACATTTTGTGTATTACACAATTTTTTTTTTATCACCAAGTAAATTTGTATATAATTGTTTTATACTGTTTTAACATTTATATAAATAAACTGTTCCTAAGTTTGTAATAAAGAAAAATAAGATAATGAATAATTTTAAAAGATACTATTACCCGGATTCTCCACCAGTCTTTTACACCGTTAGGATATCGGATTATTATATGTAATATCCAATTTGGTGTAAAATTAGTTTTGAGATTTTTGTGTCTGTAATAATAAGTAGACAATAATTTAGATCTCTGGTAGATTTATTTTGTCTCAGTCAATTTAGTATGTGTATCAAATACAATACAAAACATAAAACATCATTCATAAAGAAATCATATAAGTAATGTATATGTATCTGAAATTTTCTATATTATAAAAGATTTCATAATTTTACTCATTTCATTTAGATATTTAAACATCTATAAAACCAATGTAGATAACAATATAGATTAATTCTATCTAAAAAATAAAATAATATTTCTTCGTTATTATTCTAACAAATTATTTAAAGTGGGGAATGGTATTAATTATATATAAGTTACTCGCAAGGCACATGAAAAGTACCGAAATGTTTTTCATGAGATCATGCTTTTTTTAAACAACAATATTACTTACTGATTGTTACATAAAATTATAAACTTGATAAAAGAAATCCTTTTATTATAAGGAACATCTAATTTGACAATTTTGAATTTGAATGTTACTAAAACATATCTAAACACATAAGGTTGATTAAAATTATATTATTTCTTAAACATATTTCAAGAATACATTTTTCTATGAATTTCAACTTTAATCTGTGAAAGTACTACAAATCTTAATGTTGTAAAATTACTAACTTGTAACATATTTAACTCTTAATATGTAAAAATAAAACAGTTCACTATTTAAACCTTATATGAAATAAAATTACAAATTTACAACAAAGTAAGAAATGAAAAATATAACAAATTTAAACAAACAGAAAATAACATACCTGTTATAATAAGTAGACAATAATTTAGATCTCTGGTAGATTTATTTTATCTCATTCAATTTAGTATGTGACTGCCAGAGTACTGTCCAAGCTTATATACAGGAGTCTGATATCTGCCAAATACCTTGATAAATAGTCTTTAGTTTCTACTTTGAATTATTTATTAGATTTATGTCACTTTTACTTGTAATTACAACAATGTATCTTTCAGAAGTATAGAAAAAGTGGTTTGAGGCAAACATAACACATAACATATATATTTCTTACACAATAAATCTGTTGACAATTACTGACTTGTCTTTCACATTAAAGTAATTGATGAATGTATGAACCTGTTGCTAAATATTTTGAGAACAATACAATATTGTTTGAGGGGAAATCTTTTTACAGAATAGTGGTTAATAGGTAAATTGTAATGTTTGTAAAAATAATTACACTTGCAAAGATTAAAAAAAAATCATAAAATATTCTTAACTTCTTAACAAAAATAATTCTGTTTTTCTTGCAAAGTTTAAAAGAAAGATAATAAAATATTCTTAACTTTATATTAAAAATAATTCAGTTTTTATACTTTTTTATATGGGTGGAAGAATTGTACAAAATAATGCAACGGGCGAAAATTGAAGATTGGGCCAGCATCTTGTTCATTTGACAAAAATTGTAATTGACGTGTTTATAGCTCATCTTATGATTGGCAATGTACTTTGCTTAAATATATGAGTATACTAATTAATGTTTTGTAATTATTTGGGTGATACGGAATTAAGAAAAATATATATACAATAGGGGTAGGTCTGGGAGGGGTGACCCCTCCCACAGACCGAGAAAATTTTGAAATATGAGGTTGAAAATGGTGTTATTTCCTTGACTTTCTAGTGTCGTTTATAGTACCTTTTGGATGGTTTTACAAAAAACTGTATTGTGTATAGGTTAGTGTTTACAGGCCAGGGTCTTTCGAACTAAAGAGGTCAGTACAATTCAAATTTTATTTAAAAATATAATAATAATAATAATAATATATTATTATTATAGGAAATGGAAAAACAAAGATAGTAAAATATGATGTACAATGTAACACGTCTATTTGCCACTAGCTGTGACTATTAATTTTATTAGACCTTTGGAAAGTAATAAACCAATCAATTATGCAGTTTAAACATCAAAGTCATTGAAGCATGTTGATAGATAAAGATCTCTGCAAAGCCCCCAGGCAGAAGTATAACAACTGGATGACAGCAATTACTGTTTTGATAAGGGAGTAAACTACAGCCAATAAAGTTTGAAACTGCCAAAAATATATTCCAGCCCAGCTGGTAAACGTATCTTTGGGCTGTGCTGGGGGGCTGCAGCCCTGAAGCCCCGGCCTGAATCCGCCACTGAAAATGATGGTGTTTCTGACGCATTTATATATAATGGGCCTTTTATTCACATTTATGTATGTTATAATCTATGCATAAATCAGATCATTAAACCTAAACAAAAGGATATGTATACATATACTCATGATAAGGCATAAAAAACAACCTTCGAGATCAAAAGTAGATGACAAATCCTGCACATAGTCTTTTGTTGTAAGTTATAGATGTCGTTTGTCAAAGATTTAATATAAAACTGAACAAGAAATGACTAACAATGTTTCTATGGAAACACTTCTGGATTATAATACAATCATTTTGTTTTGTAGCAATAAAAACCACATCATTGGTAAAGCATATAATTATATATAACTAATCAGTTATTTTCTGCTAATCCTGTGTACTGTTCACTTATTTCCCAGAGTTTCTTGGCAACACCCATGTCTTTGCTCATCTCTGAACTCTGATCTTCTGCTTCTTTGCAGTCCACGTAATACTTCCCGGACACCCCTTCGATGTCCTTGCTTATTGAGCAATATATAGAGGTCTGAGCCCCTTCTTCAGGTGTCTGTGATAAAAAATTAAATACATGACTTAATTGCAGGTGCATAAATGTGAAGATTTTGGTAAGGACATTGAATGAGTGTATGTTCAATACTTAATTTATTGAAAAAGTTGAATAAAAATATATTAAGCGAGCCTCTGGCAAGCACAATATTTCATTCAATGAGTTCAATAAATTCAGTTATGTACCTTCACAAACATAACATTCTATTTATCACATACCCAAAATAAATTAAGTGCAAAAGAATCATTTCTCATTGACCCCCCTTTTTTATAGTGTAACACTTACATCTTGCATGTCTTTATACATTTGTATAACACAAATGACCTCATGTCAAAATATATGCAAGGCAGTGCAATACAATTTTATGGACTGGCAAAATCGGCATGGATATGTGATAAATAATTATTATAATACTCAATACCTTTATTATATTACTCAGTTTTGATTCAAATCCCCATGATATTTTCAAACCGAAAGTTAAGTAAAAATTTCTAGATGATTTCACCCCTGTACATCTTTGAGTATAACTTTTAAAATTTTCTTTTTGCTTTTTATGTATGACTACAGTTAAGTACATCTTTTGACGAAACATATTACATTAAATATAAAAGACAGATTTGCCTTCTTTAGGATTACTTTACTTAAGCAAAATATGAAATCACAAACATTATTACAAATATTATAATTTAATATGTTATTTAAAAGATATCATTTATTCAAATACAGAAAGAATGTTTAAGGTAAATAATATCATATTAAGAAATTGAGAAAACTAAAAGTTGTTAGGAAAATTAGATGTACCATAGAATCTACAATATTAAGTAATATTATAAAACTTAGATATATAAAATTAATTCACATTCAGTACAATACTCAGTGCTATCCAATACAATATAATGTGGTATTACAAAACATGCATTAAGTAGAAGCAAGATGGTCTAATAATCCAGGGTCACAGACTTGATACCCTGATCTATCAGTAACAATACAATCTTTTGGATGAAATCTTAAAACTCAAGATACAGTGATTAGCAAATATGGTCAACTGAAATATAATTGTAAATAAAGCGAGAAATAAAAGATTAAGATGATAAAACTTTCTTGTAAGTCCTATGAGACACAGATATCTCTATATTATAAATCTCTATCTAAATTAGTAGTTCAATCTTGACACCATGCTAAATATATTCTTCGGAATAGTTCAGCTAAAAATATACAGAATAATGAAGAATCTCTAAAATGAATTACATGTATAAATACAACAAAGGTAAGAGAATGTTAGTACAACTACCTTTACAAAGCATGCAGCAGCTATAGGATGTAGTGGTTTTAGGACAGGATTGAAAGCGTCATGCAATAATTTAGTATTAACTGGCCCTGGATGTAAACATAAAGTGATCACTCCTAAAACAAGATAAATTAAAATGTTCATAATTATTCTTATGGCATAAACAAATCATTCCATAAAAAGAGACCTTATCTAAATGTATTTCTGGACGTGGGTGCAGAGAACATGATTGCTCTCCAACTTTGATCAAGTAAACTGCTTGCCCTCAGTGAAAAATTCAGCAGATTGTTCTTTTACAAGGGAACTATTAAATCTAAAATTTGCCTGCCCTGGTTGCAAATTTTTGCAGACTGTCGGGCAGCACGAAATACCCAAATATACCCAAATACACACAAACATACCCAAATATTGCCCAAATATACCCAAATATTGCTCAATATACTAAATATAAATGTTTTATACTAAAAAGTGCTGATTTAATGATGAATTATAATATAAACTTTCACTATGATTGATCAAACATACCCAAATATACATTTTCCTATCATTGTGTTTTGAACCAAAATATACCCAAATACTGTACAGTACAGTACACTCCTTTAAAGCTATATCAAATTTTCTAAAAAAAATAATACGATGGACACTTGTATGAAATTTCAAATATGCATACTCTGAGAAATCTCTCTCTCTCTCTCACTCTCTCTCTCTCTCTCTCTCTCTCTCTCTCTCTCTCTCTCTCTCTCTGAGCCCTCTTTGATAAACACTTTACATTATACATGCAATATAGCAAGACTCCTGTTAATACTTCTGTAAATAAATATTAGAATAGTCTATGATATTCAGTTTTCAATACAGTACAATATCGACGACGATTAAAAAGAAATAAATGGATTTATATAAGTAAAATTGTTTTACAAGAATTAATCAAATGCAGTGAACACTGGATAATTTACACCTCTTGAATTTAAAGTTTAAGACACTTTATCTGGATTTTATTTTTGGCAACTTATGTCCTTATCAATAACACTGATACAGTGACAATATGGCTCAAGGATTACCAGTTTTTCCAGAATTTAGTGTAAATGAACCAGACGTTGATAACAGTTGGAGAAAATGGACTGGCAAATTCAAAAATCTCATGTTAGGCATGGACATGCAAGACAAAAAACGTCAGAGAGCACGTTTTCTTCACTATGCTGGGGAAGAAGTAAATGACATTTTTAAAACTTTTCATAATACTGGGGATGAGGTCGAAACTGCTTAAACAAAACTTACGGCATATTTTGCTCCACAGAAAAACACCGAATATTTGAAATCTATAAATTTCCACAGAAGAAGCAGGGAATGGAAGAAAACATTGACAGGTTTTCACACACGACTGAGACAATTGAGCATGAACTGTGAATTTGCAAACACAGATAGGGAAATCAAATCGCAAATTATTCAAGGTTGCAGGTCAACACGGCTGCGACGCAAAGCACTACGCGAAGATCTTCCATGAGACAGTCTGGTCAAAGAAGACAGGACACTTGAATAATCAGATTAACAAGCATCTGAAATTGAAAGTAAAACAAAAAACAAAACAGGATTCCATAAATGTCATGAAAACACGACAAAGAGGAAAACAGACGCAATAGAAACTGAAACGTGATTACCCCAATAATAAAACAAAATGCAGATACTGTGGATATGAATATCCTTATAAATCCGGAAAATGCCCAGCAAATGGTAAGACATGTACCTTTTGCTCGAAGAAGAACCATTTTGAAGCAGTCTGCCTCTCAAAGAAAAAAGACAAAAAAGACAGAAGTTTCACATTTAATCTAAACGATAGCTTACAAAGTGAAAGTGATAAGGACAAAGAAAAGCGAAGATAAAAACGAAATATATGGACTATCTGTCAATTCCATGCAATTACAAAGACCAAAAGCTGGAAGTGCATATCAACGGCTGTAAAATTAAAGCATTAATTGATACAGGATCATCAATAAATTGTAATTGACGAAAACACGTACTCAAAGCTTCAAAATAAAGTTCATCTTAAGAGAGCACACACCAAGTCTTTTGCATATGGTGCTAGTAAGTTACCTTATTAGGCAAGTTCCAAGCACAAATTGAATCTTAAAACAAAATAACAACAGCTCCAGTATATGTGACAAAGGGCAGCAGGGTAATCTTCTCTCTTATCAGACATCTGTTGACCTCAATATCATTCCAGAAATAAAAACACAGTCAGCAAGGTCAATGAACTCTGTAAAAAAAAAAACCGTGTTTCCCCGGCATGGGGGAAAAAGAAAGGCAAAAAAGTCAAAATTATGTGGATAAAAAAGTTTAACACATAGACGTACCTTTCCCAAATTTAAAAAACCCAAGGGTTTAAAAAGAGCTCCAAAGGGAGGACCCAGATATAAATTTAAAAAGTTTGGGGGCCCCCGACTGGGTATCACCCATTTGTAGTAGCTCCAAAGCCAAAAACAACCCAAAAAGGAATTTTTCGACATGAGGCTACCAAAACAAGCCCTAAAACGCACAAGGGCATATTTTTCCCAAAAATTGTAAATGATTGTGGACTTAAATGGGGCCAAAATTTTTTCTAAATAGTTTAAATCATAATATAACCCAAATTTGAATTTAGAAAGGGAAACCCCGCAAAATTTAAAAATTTACAAAAATGTTGGGTTAAGAGATGAAAAGCCTCGTTTCGGGAAACAATAGTGCAAGGGAGAAAATTTAAATGCTTTAGTAGGCTCTTTGAAAGGGTTTAACGGGTGAGGAAAAATTTCCCCTTAAGTCATTTTTTGGGCTGGGGACCAAACCCGGGCCCTGAAAAGAAGATTTAGGCGGGTTTAAAACGCTTGGCAGAAAAAAATTTTAAAAATTTAATAAAGCAAATGTTTAGTTTTTAAAAAGCAAAAAAGAAAAATTCTTTGGGTACATTTTTTAGTAAAAAATGGAATTCAGCAGACCCTTAAAACAAAATTTAAAAATTAAAAAGACACACCTTTTCCAAAAAAGTTTTAAAAAGTCAGAAGTTTCCTAGCAATGACATATTACGTGTCACGCTTTATCCCAAATTACAGCACCATAGCAGAGCCAATACGTCGTCTAATAAAGAAAAATGCAAAATGGACATGGCAAAATGAACAAGACGAAGCATTTAACAAACTGAAATCTTTTTTGAGCAGTGATACAGTCATGACATACTTTGATCCTAATAAGGAAACACAAATAATCACAGATGCATCTCCAGTGGGCGTGGCTGCAAGTATGCTCCAAGAAGGTAAAGTTATGTGTTATGCAAGCAGATCCCTGACAGATGTTGAACGAAGCTCTTACAGTCAGCAAGAGAAAAAAAACTTAGCATTAGTTTGGTCATTAAAACATATATTCTAGGTTTAAAGTCAAGTACACCAAATTGTATGGTTTACGGTGAAACTGGTGTTAAACTACTATCTATTGAAATTAAATGTAGAATTATATCATATTGGTCTGACTTAGTCATACCACAACAGAACAAGTTACCGTGTTTGATATATCGTATTTTGTTAAATTATTTTAATAACTCCCAGACTGTATCTAGATTAAGATTTCAGTGGATAAAATTTGTTCAGAATATTTTGTATGAATGTGGTCTGTATAACGTTTGGCATAACCATGAATTTCATAACCATAAATGGTTTACGATGTCAGTCAAACAAAAATTATCAGATTT